TTTTGGTTAAATAACGTGTGGAAGATAATATTTCTATACACAGCATGACTGAATTGTAGTAATTAAAAATTATCTCGGGGCACCTGGGGGGCTGGGTTGAGTGACTGACTCTTGATTTCGGGGCAGTTTGTGATCTCAGGGTCGTGGGACTGAGCCCCAGGTCGGGCTCTGTGCTCAGCGGGGAGTGTGCTGGAGGTTCTCCCTCTCCCTCTGCGCCTACCGCCCCCTCTAAAAAATTATCTCAAATATTGGGACCAGGCCTGCAGGTCATGGTTAATAAAAGCCTGTGAATGATACCAACTTCATCCCCCTGAGCACAACACACACAGTATTTGTATTTTGTTGTTACAACCAACTGCACAGCTGCACAGAAATGCTCACGGACTTAAATCTGGAGGAAATGTAAAGCTTGGAAAACCCTCTAAGAGCGTGGAATCCAGCAAGAACATGACAGCAGCAGCAGTATGTGTACGTTTCCTCCTCGATGGTGCAGCTTCTGAACGCACTGCTGTTCCCACGTAGGCGCCTCAAGGGTGCGGCCCACTGCGCACACGACGGTTTCTACGTCTAACCAACGACCGTCCGACAGTCTCCACAAAGCATGTGTTTTCAACTGGCCGCTTAGAGCAGCTTGTTTCTTGGCAGAGACCAAGCAGCTGCACTTGGCGAGGTCACCGTCTCGGCTAACAAACCTGGCTGGTGCACGCGCGTGTGCGTGTGCGGGCCGGCCAGGTCTGGCTTCTGCAGGGACGGCCACGCCCGACGCAGCTCCCTTCTCAGACATGCGCACGGCGTGAAGTAAGCGTGGGCACGGTGGGTATCTTCTCTTCCATGAGGATTTCGACCCCACGACCACCACCCTGATGCCGGAGTCGCACTGCCCAGGACCAGGAGGAGGGAGTCCTCCCGAGCTGCCCCTTCTCACGACGGTGTGGGCCGTTGTGGGCGGGCCGGCGTGCCCCACAGGCATGGGGGGGACCGAGTGGCCGTCTGTCTGCCTCCTGCCTCTCGGCCCTTGCCATGACTGACGGCGGGCGTCCAGCCTCCAAGTGCCGCTGAGCCGCCGCCTCCCTTCCCGCTGCTCACCCTTAAGAAGCGCGAAGGCTGTCTGCCCTTGGACTGCCCAACCCGCTCACACTGGTCATGCTCGAGGGTCGTGCGGTTTTGACCCCGTTCGTCTTTACTGCCTCCTTCTGCACTCAGCGGGCCGACCCACCGAGATGCTGCAGGACGGGCTCCGGGACTTCCTTCCCCAGTGGCTGCTGCGGGCTCCTCACACGGACCCACGTCACGCCGTCAGGATGGATGGCGGACTGACCCGGGTCTCCCCTGGTCAGAAACAGGTACGGACCCGTCCATCCGCTCAGGGCCTGCCTTTCCTTCCCACACTTCTGTCACTCGTGGTGTTATCTACACATGCCACTCGCCGTTAGAACCCGGACACCGTGTGCGATCTTCTCTCTTACACAGGAGCTGATGGAAGGGAAGAAAACGCGCACACTTACAACGCGTCACGCGAACCTTCTCATTTACCGTTTCTTCCGAAGTATCTTGTGCCTACTGCCTGTGTGATCACTGGCAACACCCGGCTGTCCCTACCACAGGCCCCAGAGACAACACGTCATCCTCTACACATGCTCCTGATACCAGTTAAACGAAGAGATAAGAAAACTAAATTCACGCTGCCCGATAATTACACGGTGCTCTTTGCATGACTCTGGTCTCTGGGTCCCTGGCTTTCGGACCGAAGAGCTCCCTTTAGGATTTCTCGTTTCTGACAGAGTTTTGCCTGGTTGAGGCTTTTTTCTCCAACACCTGGGCATGCCGTGGTCTCTGACGAGAAGCCGGCTGCCGGTCCTGCAGGCGCTCTTGGCGGTGCCGTCCAGTTGTCCGCATGTGCTCTGTCTCCGGCTGTCAGCACTTTTACCACAACGTGTCTGGGCGTGGATCTCTGTGCTGACCCTGCTTGGAGTCTGTCGGGCTCGGGACGCGTGAGAATGCCTTCCATCCATCTGGGGGGATTTCGGCCCTTCCCCTCCATGCCCCCTGCCGGCTCCCACTGTGGGCACGCGCTACTCTACTAGTTCTTTCTTCCGAGGCTGAGCTCGACCCTCGGGCCCCTGGAGAACGTTCATTTCCCTGCTGCACTTGGCCACGCCGTCCACCTACTTGCTCTCGCCCCCCTGCGCAGCTCTCTTGGTGCCGGGGGCGCACTCACGGTGGCCGCGTTCACCGGCAGCTTCTCTGGCCCGTGTCTTCCCTGTGAGTGGAAGCAGGCATTGTGGCTCCTGTCCTGTGGCGGCTGGGTCTGGCCTCTCCCCCGGCCAGAGTGGCTGCCGCGTGCCGTGACCGGCCGGGCCGTTTGGGCATGTGAAGAGCCTGCCGAGCATTCTGGCTACGCAGACACTCGTGTGGAAAGTGGGCCCTGCATTCCCACTGTCACTCACTTCCACGTCTAGTCCCCGTGAACAAGAACAAAATACAACCAGAAACGCACATCTGCCAGTTTCTCTGGTACAGAAAGAAGCGAGGTCTGCAAACCTAAGTCACCCGCCTTGGCTGACGGGGAGCCATGTGCCTGACTCTGCTGCGGTCAAGGGTCAGAGCCGTGGGGCACACCCAGAAACCCCGAGCTCCCGCCACGGCCACACGTACGAAGTTCAGGAGAAGCAGACGAAGGCAGGTGGGAAGGAGCCCTGTGAGTGTTCTGGGCTCAGGGACGAGTGGAAGCCGGCTCGTAGGAGGTGAGAGAGTGCGTCCCACACAGCAAGCGGAGTCTGAGCAAAGTCTGGGAATGCCAGGTTCTCACGGTCAGAGGTGTGGCTCCCAGAATGGCGGGCACCTGTTGGGGGCTCAGCCCCCGACCCCCACCGTCACACGTTGGAGGATTTCAAGCTTGTTTGCCATGTTCAGATGCTCTCCACGGGACCAGGAGAAACTTCCGAGCTGGAAGTTGGACTTCTACTCCCTGTGCCGGCTGACCACGGAGACGCAGGAAACCTAGCGCGCTGGGACTAAAACCACGTTGCCCCACAGGCCTCCAGTGCAGAAGGCCGGCACCCAAACCACATCAAAGCAAAGTCTCTTTCCAACAAGCCCTGGTGCCTGTCGTTTGTGGGCATGCGAACCAGCGAAAACGAAGAAACAAAACAGGATGTGCACTCTGGGGCTCGGTGGCGCACGGGGCTCAGTAAATGCTGAGTGCCTGCAGCCCCCGCCCCTTGAGGAGAGGACGCTCCCGGTGGGCTCCGGCCAGGCCTGAGTCTTCGTGAAAAATGCCTCAATTTCTTTTTTACTCGACAGAAAAAACAAGAGCAGGATCAGAGCATGCTACAAATCAGCAAGAAGACGTGATGAACCATGGGCACCAGCCGGCACCTCCACACTTGGGTTCTCAGAGCGGGTGGGAGGCCGGCTCCTCAGAGACCCCAGTGGGACCCCTGCACAGAGACGAAGACACAGCCCAGCACAGCGATCGTACAAGGCTTATCATCACCCAACGCGGAATTTTAAAACAACCAGTTCCTAAAACAACCGAACAGCGTTTCACACTCTGCTCCGCTGCATGCCTTGATGGGCGGGACAGCGAGAGCACCGTGAGAAGTGGCTCCGTCTTCCCGCTGCGCAGCCCGGCTGCAGGTCCGCTTCCCTTCTCGGAGTAAACTACACGCGGAACCACCAATCTCTGCGCCCTCTCTCCGGTCGCTGCTAGAATTTCTGGCCCAATCCTGTTTTGTAACCGGACTGTTCACGTAAACTCTTTTGAGCTGTTTATTCACCTACAGAATGTCTTAGGGTCGGACCAGATGGGGTGTGAACAGACTCAGTGGGTAAGGAAAAGAGCCCCCACATGGAGGGAGATCCCAGTTACAAGGCGAGCACACGCGTGTGCGGTCTGTACTGGCCCCGATTCACTGGCTGACCTGCAGCGACCCTGAGGCGGCGCCACCAACACCCCCATTTCAGAAGAGGAAACTGAGGCACGGGAGGTTCGAGGGCTTGCCCACTGCTGTGCGGCTGGAAGGAGGCTCTTGGGGCGCATGTCTGCTCGCTTCTCATCACGGGGGTCGGCAGGGGCTGGGGTGGTCCTGCTGAAGAACCCCTGGCCTCGCGTGAGCAGCGGGCTCTGACGCACAGCACGCAAACACTGTACGGCTCAGGGCCGGATGAAGACGGGACAGCGGGAAGCAGGGGAGAGCGGCCCTGCCCCCGGCAGACAGCCCGCACCACCGCCAACACTGCGTGCAGAGCTGGAGCAACGCTGTCTGAATTCCGAGGGCCACGGTGCCCTCCCGGACCACTGATTCCCCTCCGCTGTCCAGCCGGCGTGGGCAAAGCCAAGAAGGCAGTTCCTGACGCGCAAAGTCTGTCTGCCTTCCACACACGTTGTCCCAGGAAGCTTCTGGAAGATGCACCCACTCCACCAAATGAGAGAACAAACATGGTGCTGGAGCCGTGGAGCAGTGAGCCAGTCCCGGCAGGCAGCAGGGCCGGATGGGGAGGCTCAGGGACGCTCGGGGACAGCAGCTCTGGCTTTGGGCCACACTGAACTGAGGTGCTGGGGTGGGAAGACTTGGAAAGAGGCAGAAGGGAAGGAAGTTGAGCAAAGAGCACATGAGGTGGTAAGCGAATCCGAGTGAGGCAAGAAGATGCTTCAGAGGAGACTCCTAGCACACCCCTCGGTCACACTGTCAGCGCTGGCCGGGAGGCTGCCGTGGCCAGAGTGCACACCACCCACCGACGGGCCGCGGAGCAAGGGCCGGGCTCGCGGAAAGGCGGGAGCTGACCACAACGCGCTGGCCACGGTGCTGCCTGCTCTCTGCCGCCCCCTGCTGGCGACCGCCGGTCCTGCAGGTGTTCCTACCAACCACACACAGGAAGCACTTTCCCAAGGGGAGGAAATGAGATCTCCACCAGGCGTAACTGAAACCACAAAGACTGTTCTGTGATTGCATCTCCCCTACAGACGCCATGGGGCCTGCCCCCCGCCCCAGCCCACCTCACCTGGGCCCCCGGCTGCCTGCGGTGGTCCTCCCGCTGCACGGCGTGGCCTCCAGCGTGGCCTCCGGCGTGGCCTGGGGCTCCCGGGGTGGGGGCCTCTTCTTCTCGCTGTCGCTGTCGTCACTGCCCTCTCCTAGGATGTCGTCCACCTGGCAGAGGGTGAGAGTCAGTGTGGGAACGCATCCACCTCCCATCCCAAGTCCCGTGGCCCCCGCCCACACCCAGCCACACACACACACGCTTTTGGTGGACGGGCTGCACGTCCAGCCCCACGCTGGGCCGAGTCCCTGGGTCTGCAGATGCACAGCACCAAGGGGCACCGAGCAGGTGCACGAGGAGGGCGAGGGAAAGCTGAGAAGGCCCAGGCCGCCCCTCCTGGGATCCCAGGACCCCATGTGTGACCCTGGTGCAGGTCATGGGGACATCCGGGCAGTCATCTCTTGGCGGCATGATTCTAACGGGGGTTTTCTCGCTAGTGCGTGAATGAACTTTACGGTGAAGAATCAGAGGATTCTGTTCAAATGCTCATGATCAATGAGCCACACAGAACGACTGCTTTCCAGGAAGCGCTCCGGAGTCTTGGGGTGGGGGCAGCTGCTGCCGGTGGGGTCCCCAGCTGTGCCCGGGGGCGCCTGTTCTCTCCCACAGGCCCCAGGCCAAACCATTCACGGACATGCCAAGTGAGGGTGATGGGAACTCATAGGCAAGGGCCCTAGAATCGGCCCTCGCTGCTCCCTTATAGCCCGGGGCAGGTCTGCTTCCGGACGCCAGGCCCCCAGGGACGCCCGACAGGGGAGGCTCCAGTGGCTCTCCCACCAGCAGGGCTTGGCCAGGCTGCCCAGGCCAAGGGGGATGAAAGCTGCCTCCTAACACCTGTTCAGTCAGAAGGAGCTGTTCCGTCAAGATTTGGGGTGGGCCTAGAGACAGAAGATGGGGTGAGAGTCGGCCTTCCACCTGTCTGACCTCGGTCTCCATGCCTTTCTCTCAAATTCTCCCTGGTCTTCTAACAAAGACACTGGATAACGAAAGAGATCAGGTGGAAAGGAGAAAATAAGGAACGGGAGGTTACCCACTGCACCAGGACAGAACTGTCCTGCCAACTGCTTTGGATTTCTGAGCGCCTCCAATAACATTTTTGGAACTCTGCTGTTTTCTCAAGAGGTCAACTGAAATTGTAATCTTTCTTTGTTCTGACTTACTACTATGTGACGGAAACACTGTATGGCCCCCATCGGCAGGTGGGCTGGGGGCCCCGCAGGGCTGCAGAGCCAGCCCTTCCTAGGGGCGTGGGTGGTCAGGGTGGCCAAGCCCAGAGGGCAGACAGACGTTCACAGAGGTAACTCCCAGGCTCAGAAGTTCGGCTTCAAGGCCTCTATAACTTCCCCAAATGTATGCACGCCTGAGAAGTGCCAACACGTTTCAGGATGTTAACATCAACTTATTAAAAAAGGTGCAAAGTGGAATGCAAAGATGACCACTCTAACAGGTGCATCGCTTGAGTCCCAGGAACCACACTTCAGAGCTAAAGGTGCTTTTTCCCCTCAAAATATATATACAAAAAAGCAAACAATGACGTCAAAAATCCTGTAAGTCAACATAGTTACGTCTTTATGACCTCAAAGTGGATCATTACGTAACAAGGTTATCTGATGTGTAAAACAGTAAGAAATGTATTTATTGGTCTCTGTCCCTCTGTCCTGACATGGAGCTCCTGAGCCCCTTGCACTTTCCAGACAGACAGCGGCATCTCTTTTTCTAATGAGGCAACTCTAGGTGGGCTCTGGACGGGGCTGGTCACCGGAGACCGGCCAGAGTGAAGCCTGGAGCCTGCAGCCCCACCCCCACCCTCCAGGCCTCGGGGAGCTTCCACCTCCTGGCAGGTGGCCCACTCCAACTCCACGGGGACAGCAGCTCCTACGCTCGGAACCCTGTGCACCGAACCCTGTGTGGCTCTTCGCCTGGCTGTTCATTACGTAATGCTCTTCATTACGTAATAAGCCGCTAAAAAGTGCGGGAGCAGCTCTGGCAAAGGATGGAGCCCCAGGAGCGGGCTGTGGGAACCCCGAGTCTCAGCTGGTTGGTCACCCGTGGGGGTGCCAAGCCCGCACCGCCCCCCCCGTGTGACTGGCGTCTGACGAGGGGAAGCGTGTGGAGGCTGGTGGTGTCAGTGCTGCTCGCTGTGACCCCTACACATCTGGGCGAGAACAGATGCGTGTGTCGACCCATTTCCCAACACGAACTTAAGACAACAGCCACCAGGTGTGAGGGCACCGTTTTCCCAACTGCCAGGCCACGCTCTGCAGGGAAGCCGGGCCGGCTGCAGCCAAGGTGAAAGCTGTCTGTGGGAACCCTGCTCACAGCGGCTTTCAGGCGTTTTGAACTTGGAACTACAGGGATATTATGGCTATTTAAATGTCAGATTTAGAAAATCCATTAATTCAGAAAGACCAGGTTTTCAGCTTATTCCAGAAAACACAAAAAGGAAGAAAAGCAGTCAGATGTACTTAACTCACAAAAACGGACTTCTTCCCATGGACAACTGGGTGGTGTCCCCTAAGGAAGCTCCCGGCAAGGCTGGCCAGAGCTGCAGCCCCTCCCTACAACGGGCCAAGTGCATGCCCTCCTGCCCCGCCCCGCCAGCCCCTCAGCGCATTCAGGGACAGGGACGCGCACTCCTCGCCTTCCCAGCATCGGGCACCCCCACATGGCCCGTGAGCTTCTCTGCATGGACCGTGAGGGCTCTGATGGATTAAGGGGAGGTCCTAACCCAGAGCAGCTTCGACCCGAGACCATCAGTCGCTCCCACACTGACCTCAGTGAGAATATGGAAACGGCGACAGCTACGTCAATAAAGCAATAATCATCATGTCACTATAAAGTCTTTACACACAGGGTTTGCTCCTAAGCTAAATGCATTTAATAGAAAGCACAGTTAATTCTAAGAATTTAGCGCATTCACACTTCACCATTATGTTTAATTGATTGTATTTACTCTATGTTGATGGGCAAACCTCCTATTAGAATATTCTATTAAATTTTCCTCTGAAAATACTTCAGGCCTTTAACTCTGCATCACACCTTTTCAAGAGAAAAAAAAGAATTAAAAAAATCAGTTATTTTATTTTATTTATTTATTTTTTATTTTTTTATTTTTTTTTAAAGATTCCACCCATTTATTCATGAGAGACAGAGACAGAGAGAGAGAGGCAGAGGGAGAAGCAGGCTCCCAAGGAGCAGGAAGCCCGATGCGGGACGTGATCCCAGGACCCTGAGATCATGACCTGAGCCGAAGGCAGACGCTTAACCATCTGAGCCACCCAGGCGCCCAAAAAATCAGTTATTTTAAACGTAACGACCAAAGTACACAATCACAGCCTCTCGGAGACCGCGAAGTGACCCGTAAGTGTTGGCACTGTCTCCGAGTAGGAGCCCGGTCGCTTCTCGAGTCGGCGGACAGCTAACCCAAGTGCGTGTTCATTCTGCCAGCTGATTGGAAGATTCAGAAAAACACTGTGCGCAGCCCAACTAAAATCGTGAATACACATTAAAATCTGGCCGTATCTAAATTATGCTTACACTTGCTCTTCCTCATTCTGCTTTACTCATATAAAAGGATCTGTTTCAGAACAAAAGACATCTTTCCAGGGCTTTCTTTTACACAAAGGTAACTGGGCTTTTTAAAAAACAGTAACATGTAACGAACTATTTATTTCATAAATACTATTTAAAAGATGCTAGGGTAAAAACTTCAGAATCTTAAGGAAAAATCTAAAAGCAAGTATATGAAAAGAAAAACAAAATTCATTTTATACTGAATTAACGACTGAACTCTCAAAGGGCCAACACGGATCACACTGAATGCACTGGAAAACATTCCCATCCCTCACTCGGAAGACGCAGGACCACGGGGATTACGGACTCCTCATGGCCTGTCTGCAGAGAAATAAGGCAGCCAAGCGGAGAGTTGTGAGAGAGGGAACAGAAACATGTCCCGGGCTGGAAAAGCAAACTTCCCAGTCACTCCCTGTAACAGGCGACCTTCTCTCTTGATAAAACTGGAAATGTGTTTAGACACTTTAGAGATCACTTTCTCCAAGGAGGATGCAGAAAAAAGGGGACCGAGGTGGTGCTGCCCAAGTCCACCTGGACCTGTAAACTCGAAACAGACAAGGCTGAGAAAAAACCTGCCGTTCCCTCTGCCGCAGTGTCCTGGGAGCCTGCAGGCAGCAAGAAACGCCCAGGCAACACTGGTGGCCGTGGCTTCAGGCCATCGGCGGGCTCGCCACAGTTCCTTCGGCCGTGGCCCCCTGCACAGACTGACCTGGCCGAGCCTGCAGGACAGACACTCCAGGAAACGAGAAATAAATTAGGACATGTGTCCCCATTTCACTCTCCTACTATTAAAATGCTGTTTTCCACAAATTATCTTCAATCTCAAGTGATTTTTCTAAAGGCTAATATATGTTAGTCGTCTCACGATATCTGGAAAGTTCATGACCTTGTTTACGGAGCTGCCTGCTTCCTGATGCAACACAACACCGTGCTAAGACACAAGAATTCTCACGGTGGCTTTTTGGTGAAATAACTTTGGGAAGTCTGCTGACCCATGTAAATCCCTGAATGTCACAAACGTATCTGTTGGTCCACGAGTACCTGCTCCAAACAGAAGCGTATGAACAGAACGGTCACTTGGCAAAGTTACGGAGGCGTCCCTGCCCAATGTCCGTGCCTGATTCCAGTCCAAGGAAGAAAGCCCACTTGGCGAGACCACGAGGCTGCTCAGGCTGGACACATATAAATGAGATTGCACGGCAAGCCTGACCGCTGAAAGGGCTGAAGACACAAAGGAAAACATTCAGGCTGCCGTGAAAACAAGCAATTAAACCTTTGCAAGCGCTTACTGCTCATAAAATGTGCACAGAACGCCTAGGATTAGAGACTTCTGTGACCTAGCCTCAAATAATTCTCTGAACGATCTCCAGCCATCTCTTCTGTGCACATGCCTGCCAATGAACACCGAGTCCTGCCGTGCACGCTGTCCCTGCGTCCCTGACTGGGAGGCGTCCTCTCTGAGCACACACACAAGGGCTCCCGGTGCTCCGCAGGGCCCTCCTCAAATGCAAGCCTTCTCCACACAGCCTGCTGTGGG